GTCTCGCCCACGGACGTGCGCTCGAGCTGAGGCTCCTAGTGTGTCTTCCTCGGCTCGGCTGTCTGGCTGCCGCCTCCCCGACCCCGGTGAAACTGGGCCCAACAGCCTAGGCCAGGCCTGGGGCCTCCACCGGGCAGCTCGTACCCACACCTGTGCCGTGCTGTCTCCTCCCTTGGCCTTCGGCTCCTCCGCTGTCTCTCTCTGGGCTCTGTTCACCCATCCTCTGGGTCGGCCGGTCCTCTGGCCGGAAGCGCCCGCGAGGGTCAGCTGTGGGCTTTTCTCCCCTTCCTGCTCTCATTCATTTCCACCCCTCCAGCCACCATTCCTAAGGGGACCCAAAGATAAGTAGTAGCCGGGGATGCAGGAAGGGGGTGCGGTCGTCGGTCTGAGGCATGAGAAGCGGGTGGTGGAGAGTGGACCGTACCCCAAGGCCAGGCGGTGGGGAAGAGCCGGGTAAGCAGCGGGGCTGGGGGCGGATGGGGAGCAGAGGCAGACCTCGCTCACTAGGAGCTGCGTGCTCCACCCGGGCCGGGATTCGAGGGTCCTGGGAAACCAGCTGACAGCCTCCGGGGCGCAGGGCGCGCGTGCAGGCTGTGGCTGGGAGCAGCACGTGCCCACTCCCGGGAGGGACGGAGACCCCCGCATTTGGCCGCCCACTGACCGAGCACCCAGCCAGACACTTAGATGGCTCTCAGCCCCTTGTAAACAAGTGAAGGGACGTGTGAAAAGCCTGGAAGCCACCTGAGGGGGGATCCCTGCCTGTCCCCGCTTAGAACCGCCCATCACGGTCTCTCTCACTCATCACGGTCTCTCTCATGCATCACGGTCTCTCTCACGCATCACGGTCTCTCTCACGCTCACGCAGGGGTCTACTGGAGCTCTGGGCGGGGCTGTGGAGAAGCCGAGACTGGTCCCCGGCACTCGGATGCCCTGAGGTCGGGACAGGAGCTGGGCCACTGGGCCCTGCAGTGAAGAACAGGTTTCAGTCCCGGAACCCTCTGGAGGAGGGAATGCCTGAGGGTTAACGGAGTATCCAAGGCTCTGAGAGCCTTCCTCCTGGAGAAACTGGCTGAGGTGACAAGGCCTTGCTGGCCACCGGGTAGGAATGTGGGAGGTGGGGGTGCCAGCTACCCCCCTCCCCCAGGCCCAGCCTCTGCACAAAGACCTCTCTGTGAGTGGCCATGGAAGTGGGCCTGTCAGGTGAGGGGGCTTAGCTCCCCAGCACCCGCCAGAGGTCGGGGAGGAATGGGGCCGGGCAGGCGAGGGCTGAGGGGTGGCCTCAAGCATTATCCTGGTCCAGGGAGGAAACAAGCTGCGACCAGGCCAGGCTCTCACAGTGAGGCCAGGGTGGAGCCTCCTGGGGACAGACTCCTGTGCCTGATCCAGTCAGGACCAGTCTGCTGTCCCCAGGCCCCACCCACCCTGTAGCTCCCAACCCACCAGCCCCTGCAGCCCCTTCCTCAGCCCTCACTCGCCCAGCACCGGGACTGTCTCCCTCCAGCTCCTGCACAGGCCCCCCCTCCAGGGAGGACGGTGCTGGGAGAGTGAGCAGAGCTGACGGGGTGTCCCCAAGCCGCCTCGGTTCCACACCCAATCTTGTCCCCGTCTCCCGGGGAGGCTTCTGCCCGTGCCTGGCCTCAGTGCCACTGATTCTAATCAGAAGTGTGGGCAGGCCCCTACCTCTGTGCGCTGTCCCTTCTAATACGTGTTTGCACTGGGGGCCCGAGAAGCAGAAGAATGAACTCAGCAGACGTGAACTCAGGCGGCTCCCAGGTTTGCTAGAGAGGCTGTGTCCCCAGGAAGGGCAATGAAACGAGGTTTTGGTTTTTGACTCGGATTGGACAGGCCGGTTGGGGTACCGATTCTGGCTCCCTTCCCTTCCTAGCGGGTGACCTCAGGCCCGTCACCTAACGTCGCTCCTTTCCACAGTTCTGAGGGCCAGGAGGGCCGCGTGAATGCCAGTGTTCTGTAAGGCTCTGCACAGACGTCCCGTCATCCTAGATGCTGAGTGACCCAGGGTCAGAGGAGCCACCGCAGGTAGGTGGCGATCTCAGGGAGGGCTGCCAGGGTCTCGAGGTGGGGCCTGGACCACTGGGGAGGACAGGGGCACTTGGTGTGAAAGAGCTGGGCTCCGCCGGCTGGCTGGGGCAGTCTCGGCCCCGCACAGGCCAGCGTCTTGCTGAGACGGGTTTGGAGGGCACGTTTGTGACAGCTGGTTGTGGACCCCGTGACCGCAGCTTCTTCCATGCTTCTCTGGAGGGTCTCCCTGCTGGCCCCGTGTGAACACGGACCCGGGATGGGGCAGGGGCAGTGGGCTCAGTGCCCCCGCTGCCCGAACCCACTCTGCCCCCTCCCAGCTCTCCAGGGCACTGGCTGGACACGTGGCCTCCTTGCACGGGGGCGCCTGGTGCCTCCAAGCCCTGCCGCGCAGGACGCTCCAAGTCCCGGTCTCGGGGTTCCTCAGCGTTGTCAGGAGTGAGCCGAATTGAGACCCGGTCCAGGGAGACTGGGCACAGGAGGGGCTTTGTCTCCGGGCGGTCATGTGCCCGTGTGCCGGCGGGCCGGAGGGGAGCGGTTTGCGCGCCATCCCCCGGATAGTGGGGAGCCCCCGGGTCTGCGGGGACGTGGCAGGCGGGAGCCGGCATATGGAGGGGCGCCCTGGGCACAGGGGCACGAGCTTCGCCCGGCTGGGGCTGCCTTCTGCTGGGTTCGTCCATCTGGCACCAGCTGGCTCCCCGGCGCTGCCCTGCAACCAACCAGACTCCGTCTTCTGCCGTTGCCATGGCGATCGGCTGCCATCTTGTCCTCAAGTCACTACCTCATATCTGGATTTTCCCATGGGGTTTCTGGAGGATGGGAGAAAGGTCCCTGGGGATTTATCCTTTCCGCCCGATATCCATCCAGTAAAAGTCCACATCGATATGCGATTTTTAAAAATAGCGCAAGTGGGGGCTGACTGTATGTCAGGCTCCGTGCCACATACTCCCTGTGTCACTTAAGCTGGCTGAGAAACCAGTAAGGAGATCAGATTTAAGAGGTTCCCGCCCAGTTTCCTGTTTCTGTGACAGGTTCTTCCTCCCAACCAGGAAGTTGTAAAACCTTGCTAATTCCCTCGCAGGTCCAGCGGCCGGAGCCCGGTTCCTGGAGCCCTGGCTAGACGTGGCTGACCTGAGAGGTAAGGGGGGGCCGCCCGCAGCTGGGGTCCCTTGCTTGGGCTTCCTGGGCTCTGCCATCAGAGAAAAGGGGCGTCTGTGTCACCAAATGCTTAGGAATTCCCCTTCCTTGCCCCCATCCCCACCCAAAGAAAGAGGCAGGAGCCAGAGACCCTTAGAAAGCTAGCCTCCTAGGCTCTTGTGGTTGCAGGGGAGGGGGGCTTTGGAAGGCAGATTCCCCCTCCTGCCATTGGAGAGGTTCCAACAGGATCCCCGAGACATCCCGAGACGGTGCGAATGCTCCCCTCTAGACTCAAGCAGAAGGCACAGAATGGTCACCTTGACAGGAGGGAACATAGACGGGCCACTGAGCAGGGGCCGGCTTTGCAGAGGGAACCCGGAAAGAACAGCAGGTGGGGGGAGGGTGGTCGGCAGGGTGGGGCTGGGGTAATTTATGGGGTCCTGGGTCCCCTCCCCCACCCTCTTCCCAGCCCCTTGCTACTGCAGGTTGCTAGGAGATGCTCTGTCGGGCTGGGCATAGAGCAGGAGGAGACCCTTCCCCCACCCCAGGGAGGGCCCTGCAGGCAGCTTCATGCACTACCCTTCCCAGGCCCGATGGGTACCAGCCTCCTCTGCCAGCCTCCTCTGTGGTACCCCCAGTTCAGCTGGCCTGGGGCTACAAGGGCTCCCAGGCAGCCTGAGGATCTGGAGCGGGGATGGGGGAAGGGAGCTGTGGAGGGGCGCGCCGGGGGCCAGCCCAGGCCGGGAGGAGGGCCAGAGGGAGTCAAGGGCAGAGGCTGCGAGGAGCCCAGGTTTGGGGGAGACCAAGTCCCGAGCTTCGGGTAGCTTCCAGTATGATAGGCAAGACAGACCTCCCATCCCCAGCCTTCACAGTGTGATCAAGGTCAAGGTTAGCGGCCTGGCAAAGGGGGCTGGGGGTTGTGGGCGGGGTTCTGGAAGGAGGAGGTGGGTCAGGGAGGAGGGAGGTAAGCCCTGAAAGTCTGAGTCCAGGTAGAGGGGTGACAGGGACCTGGGCGGAGTCTAGGTGGAGGGGGACAGGGACCTGGGCGGAGTCTAGGTGGAGGGGGACAGGGACCTGGGTGGAGTCTAGGTGGGGGTGTGGCAGGGACCTGGGCGGAGTCTAGGTGGGGGTGTGCCAGAGACCTGGGCGGAGTCTAGGTGGGGGTGTGCCAGGGACCTGGGCGGAGTCTAGGTGGAGGGGTGCCAGAGACCTGGGCGGAGTCTAGGTGGGGGTGTGCCAGGGACCTGGGCGGAGTCTAGGTGGGGGTGTGGCAGGGACCTGGCCTCCTCTGCCGATCCCCCCAGTCCAGGGACCTGGGCGGAGTCTAGGTGGGGGTGTGCCAGAGACCTGGGCGGAGTCTAGGTGGAGGGGTGGCAGGGACCTGGGCGGAGTCTAGGTGGGTGAGTGACAGGGACCAGGGTGGAGTAGGGCTAAACAGGCACTGGCTCAAGTCTCCTCTGAGATTCTCCGATTTTAAGGCCCTTGGAGAAGTCACCCTAGGTGTACTTTGGGGGCTTCCAAAGCTGCTGGCTCCCTCTCCCATGTGGGGCAGGTACGGAGCGCTGGGCCCGCAGCCATGCTTCTGACGTCCGCCCACGGTCACCCCACCAGTCACAGGCTGTGCATCCCTCCTGATCTCACCCTCAGTCCTGGGCACAGGCCCCCACCCCGGGGAGGGAGGGGCTGACCCTCATTAGGCCGCCGCCTGCTAGCGTAAGCCCTTCCTTAGCTGTGATCTCGGTAAATCTTACAACGGCCCTGAAAACTGGGCAATGCTGTCCCCGCTCACGAAGGTGTAGTCCCCCGGAGAAGGACATGTGGTGCAGAGTTCTGGGGCTCTCACGTTGGGCTGGGCTTCAAATGGGGCTTCCTGGATCCCAAAGCATATGCTCCCTCTGCTCGCGCTGGCTTCTGGCAGAACACGTCCCCGACGCGGTGGGCGGAGCTGCGAGGAGAGATAGGCAGACTTCTGGCAAGTTCTCTGAGGAAGGAGCTGTGCTTCTCAGGTGCAGAGCTGAAGTCTGAAGGATGCTGGGAACAGTCCTTGCTGGCCGAAGACAGGACGGGAAGAGGCCACAGGAACTGTGGAAGTCACCCAAACCCCCCAGGGTGGTCCCTGGCCAAGGGAAGCATGCTCCTCGCCTTCCTGAAGCAAGTCCCCTGGGCGTGCGCATCTGTGTCCCCACCCCTGGCATCCGTTCCCTCCCCACTCAGCTCCATGGCCCTGGGAGAACACCTGGGAGACGTGCTCTCCCTGGAAGTTTGTCCTCTGTCTCTGGCTAAGGTCACCATCCAAAAAGAACCCTAGTCACTCGACACCTGGACGTTTCTTTTCAGACCAAAAAGAACCTACATCATGCAGTCGGCTGGGGACGCTCTGAGAAGCCCTCCTGGAGCAGCTGGAGGATGGCGCCTCCTCCGAGGAGCCTTGGAGCAGGGTGGGAGCGGGGAGGCCCCAGCCCTCAGCCTGGCAGCCCACCCACCACACCTGGAGCCACCTGGGATGAGACAGCTTCACCCCTGCTCCCAAGCCCACTGCCGTCTGGCCCGGCTTCTCCTGCCATCCGACCTGGGGTCCCTCTGAGGTGGCATCCGCCCTCTGCCTAATAAAGACTCCTGACCGCTGAACAACAGGACTGGTGGGCGTGGATGTGCCTGTGGGCCAGGGTCGGGGGAGCAGAAACAGAAGAGGGGGCCCTTGCTCTGAGAGACCAGTGCTGGGAGCCACCCTCACCACAGGCGGGGAGCCTCGTGAGGACAGCCCCATGGGGAGTGGAGCAGAGTTGGCCTTGGCTGCTTCCATCCCTCTCAGCCACACCAGGCCCCCTGGGGGCACCACGCTGACCTGGTCAGTCCGGACGCAGAGCGATGGGCCCCAGCCGGGGCCTGCCTCCATGCCGCAAGGACCCGGACAGTGGGAGAGGGTGGCTCGCACCCCCAGCCTGTCTGGGAGGCCACTGGATGGGCCTCTGCTCCTTCAGGAAGGGACCCTTCCTCAGCAATGCCTGCCCCCCGCCTGTTTCTCCACAACACGTCTGTATCCAACACCTCCCTGAAGACCGCCCCTCGCCCTGGAGACAGGCCCTGCTGGACAGCGGCAGAGTCCAGCTGCCAGCGCCTTGCAAGCCGCCCAGCCCGCTGCCTCTCAGGCCTGCAGTCTGAATCCTATGATCTTTCTAAATAAAGGCTGATGATAATGCACACGGCACAGTGCTACCACACGGAGGACAGGCGTGTCTCCTTCCTGTCCCTGTCCCCCGCCACTCCCCTCCTGCGCCGCCGCAGACACGTGGCAACACGCATGTCTGCTCTGCTTGTTTAAACACCGAGTACAGCGCCCCCAGCTCCTCTAGACCAGGAGTCCTCGCTCGAGGTCCAGTTGAACCTCGGGCCCCTCGGTGCCTGGCCTGGGCCCCGGGCAGGAAGGAGCCTCCCTCCAGGAGACACCTGGTGTGACCAGCTCCTCGTTCTGCAGAGAAAATGAGTCCAGAGCAGGGGAGGGCTGTGTCCGGGGTCCTTGGCCTGGTAGGGGCTGTCAGGAGAAGGCCCCAGGCCCCCCCAACCTACCTGCCAAGGAGCCCAGGTCCCCCCACAAAGACGGCGCCTGGGAGGGCTGATCGGGGCAGAGGAGGCTGCTCATCTGCATGGCAGTCTGGCCTACTCAAGGGCTCGCCAGCCAGGAGCATGCTTCCTTCCCAGGTTCCCTGCCCTCATGGAACCTTCTGCTGCCCAGCCTCGCAGGAACCTCTTGCGGGAGGTGGACAGGCAGGGGCTCTGTCCCTGGGAGGTGGGGGTGAGTGGAGGCAGGGTCTGGCCTGGAGGTCGCCCTTCCCCTCTGCCCTGGGCCCCAGAGCCCGCCATCAGTGTCGGCGGCCTCCTTACCCTCTGGGCTTTGGGGGGCCCTGGGCGGGGAGAGGCAGCAGTGATGGGGCCAGCCCTCTGCCCCCTCGGTGGCCTCCTGGCTCGGAAGGGAGGCTCCGGGTGAAGGAGTCGGGCAGGCGGTGGAGCTGGGAGGAGGGAAAGGAGAGCAGGGGGCGCCCGCCTCAGGTGGGAGGGGAGAGGAGCGAGGGGTTGGGCGAGGGATGCCAGGACTAGGGCCGAGGGACACTCTGGAATGTGCTCCCAGAGTCCTACTGAGCATATGCAGATGAGGCCTGTCTGTATGCAAATGAGACCGTCTGTATGCAGATGAGGAGTGGGGCATTGTCCTCCGGGGTTACCATAGAGCCCACCCACCCCTTCCCCCAGGGCGCCAGCTGCAGGGCAGCCTGGGAAGAGGCCAGGCCTGGGGAGGGGCAGCGGGTTAGGGTTCAGGAAGGACTTGCCAAGGAAACTGGCCCGGTCCAGCTCCGGAGATGAAGTGGGGACTAGAGGGGGTCTGCGGGGAAAGTCAGGCAGAAAAGATGGGGCGGACTGTGAAAAGACGCCCCAGCCACAGGGCCACAGGCCAACTGACCGGACTCTGTGGGAGGGCAGCAGGGCCGGAAGGCGTGTACTGAGCGTCCACCCCGTGCCAGGTCCCACACAGTGTCCGGTGACAACCCACGAGGCCTTTCACAGATGAGGCCTGGACGGGTGTGACAGGCACACGCAGGTCCCACGGTTGGCGAACGGCAAGGCCCTGCCCGTCTGACTCCACAGCGGCTGCAGCTCAGACCCTTCCGTCTCCTTCCTGGCGGGCTGAGACAGCACCCGGCGAGGGGGCTGGGAGTTAGGGGCTGGGCCTGGGTGGGCCTGAGTGGGCCCCTGGGCTGCAGAGGGCTGAGCACTGGCAGTGGGGGACCGGGTGGGTCTGCTGGGGGTAGCCAAGGGGACAGAAACCAGGAGGGGGACATCAGATGCCAGAGTCAATGCAATAGGGGAAACAGGCCCAGGGGGATTGGGGGGGCGGCCCGCCTAGCTCAGCAGACCCAAGTCCAAGGCCCTGGGCCCCCAGCCCAGCGCCCCTTCCTGGGCCTGCAGGCGGGAGTTGGGGTGCCCTTGAGCGTGTCCTCTCCTCTTCCTCCGGTGGCCCCCGCATCCAGTGGCGCGGCCAAGGCCTTTGTGGGGGAGCCGTGGGGAAGAGAGGCCCCTTGTCGGCTCATTCATCGGGCCGGAGGCTTGGCGATGCCAGCCCCCGGCAGCCGCTGGGCTCTCCTTCCTGGGGGCGCCAGCGGGCCCCCACCCACTGCCCCTGCCCGCTCCCCAGCCCTGTCATTTCCTGGAGCCTTGGAGCTTTGGCCCCGGTCCCGTCTGAAGGATGACGGGGAGCCCCTGCCCCCGGGCCCCAGCACCTCGCCTTTCACACGCTGGCACCAGACCCGTGGGAACGCTGGATGGCAGCTGGGCACCGGTGCCCAGCTCTGCCCACCCCCAGCCCAGCCGACCTCAGGGAGGAGAGAGGAACACGCTGCCCCCAGAAAGCTCCTCCAGGATGGGGCCCTAGAAATCCTTAGCACTAATTATGAATCTGGGGACAAACGAGGCATTTGCAAGTCAATTAGTGACAAAACTTTCCCAGGAAAGAGCTTCAGGAGGCTCAGCCTCAGACAGGGCCACATGCTGGCTCATCTCGTCCCTCCCCCTGCCTCTGTCCTGCCCGAGGCTCAGGGACAGAGGCAGCCGATGTTCTGCCGGCCCGTGTGGCTGACGGGGCCAGAGGCCTGAGCGGGCATGAGGGGCCAAGGGCAAGGCTGCGCT